TCACTGTTCTGGAGGCTGGGAAGTCCAAGATCAAGGTGCTGGCAGATTCGGTTATCTGGTGATGGACTGTTTCTTGGTTCACAGAAGGGCACCTTCTCCCTGTGTCCTCACAGGACAGAAGGGGAGAGGGAAGTCTAGGGTCTCTTGTAAGGGCACTAATCCCGCTCATGAGGGCTCTACCCTCATGACCTAATTACCTCTCAGAGGCCCCACCTCCAAATACCATTACCTTGGGGCTTAGATTTCAACATGTGACTCTAGGAGGAGGACGCCAACATTCAGTATAAAGCATTCCTGGGATAGCTTAACGCATTACCCCTGTAGAATCCTGGCCTCATTTTGTTAGTGGCAGCTGTATTAAAACAAAGATCCTACCAACAATTTCTGAAAAGCAACAAATGATTTAGAACTTATTAGACCAAGAATCTGGAAATTATCAGACTGATAATTCGTGCTTCAATTTGTATCAGTTGGAAAGCAGCTTTAATGATAGATGGTTTAGTTAGAGAATAAAATGGAGTATTTTAAGTTATATATATTAATTTATATTACTAAGTATCTTGTATGTTTTATGTTACTATAGATTTTGTATTTTAGTACTAGTCAAACGGTAATTTTGATAGTGAAATAAAGTAATATATGTAAAGTCCTCAACCAAGTGCCCATTACACAGTAGTATCCACTAAATTTTACTTTCTTTTCTTCCAGGAGAATATTTAGACTTTGGACAAAGTAATGAAAAGCCAAAGATGGAGTAGATACCCAGAGATGTGCCCTTGTGAACAAGCCACTCACTGCACTCTCTCCGAAGGTTGTTAACTTGTACATCTGAAAAGCACATCCCTTCACCAGGCCTAACCTAAAAAAATCCCACAGGAGTTCCCAGCAATTGCTTCAGCTGCAGCGAGATTAGTTTTACATGCCAGCGCCAAAAGGAAAAGTAACAACGAACACTGACAATCAACTTAAACACTGACACTCAGGCACGATTCGCGGACTCCAAAACTGAAGGGACATAAATTGTTTCCAGTTTCCCTCAACACTGAAAAGAAGAGCATGAAACAGGTAATAAGTCAAACTTTAATTTATAAGTTTCCTGGGGTTACACTTTCCTGGATGACCATTTTATTCTCAAAGTACCTGTAAGCCTCCCTGGTCAGTAAGAGAAACGCATACATACCTCACTTATGTACCAGTCATGGCTGACGGCTCTCCCCCAACCCGCCTCCCAGAAAAACATCTGCACCTGTCACTGTTACTTGTTTTTAATGTGGTCCTAAAAGTTTTTACATTTCAGGACATTTCCCAATCACATGGAAATCAATTCTGCTAAATCACATCATGCCATGCTCTCAGTAGACAGAACATTTTAACTAGGTGAGAAAAAGGATTTACTATTTCTACAGCTCTTTGTAAAACTTCCTTTCACTTTACCAGCATGGAAGCCGCCCTTTCTGTTGTTTCATGTCTTTAACATCTGTTAGGTGGGGTTGCTGTTTTTCACATGGACTGTGTGTGAAGCATGCCCTCACACTTCTGCAGCACTTGGGACAAAATGTGTATCCTGTGGCCTCACTGCCTCTACAGAACGGATGACTGCAGACCTACCCTTCCCGGGGCGGGATTCCAGGAGGCTTTGACACAAGGAGGGACCCACACACAAGTGGTCATATTTCTGCTTTTTCTTCTTTGTTAAAAATTAAAAAAGCAGTAAACAGTAATTTCCCAAGTAGTAGTCAAACCAATGAGAAAGGTAAATTGTCGACTTACAGATATTTTCTCCCTCTATCCAAATCAGGAAGCTGAGAGACACAGAGCTACTCTTCCATTTAAAAATTACAAATAAAACCCCTAAATCTCTCAAACAGGTATTAGCGAACTACACCCTTGGGCCAGATAAGCCACTGCCTGTTTTTATAAATAAAGTTTTATTGGCACTTGGCCACATCCATTTGTTTCAGTATTGTCAGTGGCTACAAAGAACCAAGTTGAGAATTTTCAGCATAAATCCTGTCTACCACAAAGCCCACCATAGTCACTAACTGGCCCTTGAAGAAAACATTTCCCAACTATAAAGCTGTGTTATCTAACAAATATAATGCAGGTCACATATGTAATTCTAGATGATTTAGTAGTCATGTTAAAAGTTAAAAAGAAACAAGTGAAGTTAATGATATACTTTTCCCCAATGGCTCCAAAATAGTATGATTTCAACACATAATCTAATACTAAAGTCATTAATGAGAAACATTTTTTTCTTCATACAAAGTCTTGGAAATCTGGTATCTTTTTTTCTTCATGCAAAGTCTTAGACATCTACCTCATATAACAGTTCAGGCTAGCCACAGTTCAAGACCTTGACAGTCACTTGTGATTGGTGGCCAGCACGTTGGTCCTTACAGGTCTGAAGGACTTGCTAAGTATAAGCAGAAAAAAGGAGTTAAAGAATGAGTTTTTCAGTGAAGTCTCCAGCTTCACTCAAATGAAATGTGAGACAGTAGACTTTTGGCTTATTCTAAGTATATCCCAAGCAATATTTGGGACATACTTATATTAAAATGTCATTTGTTGTGTGTCCAAAACTCACATGTACGTGGGTGTCCTGTATTTTATCTGTCCACCCATGCCTCAGCCCCTGAACTTTTCTGCTTATTGAAAATTCAAGTGGGAAGCAGCAAACAGAGGGGATGCTGTCTGAGGCCCACTGCTCTGCTTGGATGCCTCAATTCATTATTTCATTGATTCAGAAAATTGCTGGTGTGCACACACTCACTGGCCTCAGAAATCAACTAACACTAAATTCATCTGGCCCAAGGGCTGCCAGGGGTCACAGGGAAGGCCAGGCTGCACCCCTCAGCATGAGTCAGTAGTGCTGTCACCAAGGAATGAGTGCAGGCTGAAACACGGAAGCAGTCTTCCTTTAAGAAGGTATTGCTTTCACAAAAAAAAGTGTGCTGTCCCAAGACCCTAGGAACACCTTACACGGAACAGAGAGAGTCCATACAATGAAGAGTTCCAATAAAAGCGGACTACAAATAACTTTTCTTATTTCAGGGGTAGTGGAGGAGGGCGGGGAAAGTGACTTTCTCCTTTCTGCTTCCGGAAAAGGAGGCCAGCACTTCTGGAAGCACTGGAGCTAGAGAACGCAGAGAGATGAGCAAACAGTAATTACAGGACACGGGAGCTGTCTGGGCATCCACATAAAAATCCAAATTATGAAAACCAAGCCTCATGTGTTCTGTTTCATACAGTCAAAAAATTCCGAAAGCATTCTCTCTTCTTAAGGCAATGCTAATGGAGTTCAAAGCACAGGGTGAAAAATCGGATTGTGTGGAACAGAGAGTGTCGTCCGGTTCACTTTGGCAGTTGAGGACTCGGCAGATGAGTGAGTCGCTTGGCAACGGTAGCGTGATCAAAGCTGTCTGCACAATTCCAGCAAGCAGAATAGACCCCAAAAATGGGGGAGAAAATGATCTAGTGACAGCTGCAATTATGCACTTTTTCTTTTGCTCAACTTGAAAAATCATTTGGGAGAAACTTTCTCACAGAAAGAACAGAGAACCTTTATGTCATCCTTTTTCATATTAACCTACTTGCGAGCTGAAGATTGGAAGCACTTCATCGATCCGTCATTTAATGATCGCTCAGAAACTGTTCCTGTGCAGAATGACGGTTATCTTTTAGTTGGAACAAAATTTTCTTTAATTGTGTGCACATTAATGTGCCCAAACGAACATCAAAATCCAGGAAAAGACTGAAATAACTCCACCCCATCTGGAGACACCAGAATTGTCAAAGTTCTCAGTGTTTCTCCTGTTATTTCAGCGTCTAGCCTCACGACACATGAAGGCATTAGGAAGACTTGAAAGGTGTCCAGGATTCTGTGGACACTCATCATGTTCTCACAGACTCTCCATTTGGATCAGTACCAGGATTTAGTCTGGTTTTCCTGACCGTTTGCCGACTTTCTCTTGATATTCTTTTATCCTACAAACCAGAAAGTTCAGTCCAAAATAGAAAGCACAGGATGCACTGAAAAAAAAAATCACAGCCTACATCATGTCGATAAGCTTATAAACCCATTTGCCTTCTCTCTCTACCGGGAGAACATCAAGAAAAATAGTCCATCAAATTCTCAAACATGTTATTAGACATAAAGATTTCTTTCTCACATAGGTTTAAAAAAAAAATAGACTGCCAAGTGTCGCACTTTCAAGCCAGTTCTCAGTTATGCTGCATGCATTCTGGAATTCCTCAGGAAGGTGAAATAAAATCATTGCAAAAGTACTTAATGCCTCTGAACTATACAGTTAAAGACGGTGAAAATGTTAAATTTCAGATTATGCACGTTTTACCACAATAAGAAGTTTAAAAATAGAAATATAAAAAAATGAATTAGAGGGGGAGGGGTATATAGCTCAGTGGTAGAGTGCATGCCTACAATGCACAAGGTCCTGGGTTCAAGCCCCAGTACCTCCATCAAATAAACAGATGAATAAACCAAATTACCTCCCCCTCCAAAATAAAAAAAAAAAAGATTTTTTAAAAAAGGACATAAAGCCAGATAGCCATAGGATGTCATCCAGTGTTGATAACAAGTCTTGTTCCTACATTTCTGGCACTGACCAGATGACAAAACTGCTTTTCCTGCATGACCTGAAGTTCCAAAAATTGTTCCTCCTACTTAGCACATTTTTTGGTTCAACTGGCCCTTCAGTCCTACATGTGAACAGGACTGTAATTTAAATATGCTGTTAAAATAAAGGATCATCTAGACTATTCACATCATGGTCCAGTTATTTTTGCTGTAGGGTGTAGATAAACAATTCAATTTAAGTAATACCATAATAACCAGTTACATCTTAGAATTCCATGGCCACACTCTTACTTCCTCTTCTTTGTTGATAGTCATCAATAATTTTTTTAAATAATTTCTGTGCAATGGGAAACTATAGTTGTCATTTTCATAAGCAATCAGATTTGGGTTTTTTGGGGGGGGGTTGCCTCTACTAACAGGTAACTTATGAATAAGTGTATTTGGACTTTAAAAAAATTTTTAGATTAAACAATCCATATAAAATTTCACACATTTCCAGTCTACTGCACTGTTTGGCTTTGGGGATGGTTTTCAGCTTTGTGTTCTATGAGTTGTGGGTCTACACAGAGCACTTTGTGGACTTGGAGAAAGATGGGGGAGTCCAGAGGGAAGGAGGGCATTCCTGAGCAGAGACTTAATAAGACACGGGGTGGAGAGGACTGGGAAGGGGAGATCCTTTCAGCGGGAGGAATGTGCATACTTGGCAGAGCAGGTGCACGGAGAGGTGAGACTGCCTAGGCTGGGGAAGGTGTTCCAGACTGAGCGGTTGAGGTATACCCAGAAGAGAACTGGGGTACCACTGGATGGTTTTAATCAAGGAGGCATGTAGTGGAGTACATAGCAGCCCCCAAAATACATGTCTAAGTCCTAACACCTGGCACCTCAGAATGCAACCTTATTTGAAATAAGGGTTTTTGCAGACATAATTAAGATAAGGATCTTGAAATGAGATCATCGCAGATTCACAGTGGACCTTAAGTCCAGTGACTGGTGTCCCTATAAAAAAGAAAGATTTGAGACACAGAGACCAGAAGTCCACATGAAGATGGAGGCAGGGGTTGGAGTGGCGGGTCCACAAGCCAAAGACTGCTGACAGCCACCAGAGCTAAGAGATAGGCATGGGATGGATTCTCCCCCAGAGCTTCCAGAGGAGCCAGTCTTGCTGACACGTGGATCTCATACGTCTGGCCTCCAGAGCTGTGAGAGAGTATGTTTGTGCTGCTGTTCCCCACCCGCCCCCAGTTTCTGGTCATTTGTTATGATGTAAATCTGAGTTCATTTCCTGAACACAGATTCATATAATCAGATCTGCATTTCAGAAACAATCCTCTGGCTTTGGTAGAGGGAAATATCTGGAGCCAAAGGAGTCAAGCATTAAAGGGAGACCAGTTAGGAAGACTGTAATGATCCAGATGAGATATGAAAAGACCTAGTCACATAGCAGGGATACTGAAGATGAGGTTATTAAGGCAAAAGCCTTTCACAGACAGTGTCAAACTCCTGGCAGGGAGCGTGCAGCCAAGGGTAGATGCTGCCAAGTAGGAGAGAGGGGGATGCAGGGGAGGTGTCACGTGGAAAGAAGGGCAGCTGGGCCCCAGAGATGGCAGCAAAGATGGGCATGGATGCAGATAGGATTCACCACTGCCAAGTTGAGAAAAGAGCAACTTTGTACCTAAAGACCACCCTTAGGCAAGGTCATCCACTGAGAGTGTGCAGAGAAGGAGCCAGGAGAAAGCTGCGAGATTTTGTCCCGGCTGGGACTACAGGATGGAAAAGAAAGATGAAGAGGGGTCGCAGAATTGCTTGCTGTCAGGAGCGCACAGCTGGGGTTGAAGATCATGATCTGTAGTAACATGAATTCGCTCGGTTGTGCGGTTTTTCCTCAGCAGCCATCAGCAGCTTGGATGTGGACCAAGGACGGCAGATGGCTGGGCTGATTCAGGATCGGGCTTCTGCAAAGAGCAGTACATAACATTTCAGTTTGTTTCCGTTATGAGCTCTGTTGGACTGATCGACTTCAATGAATTCTCCACTGTAAACACGGGGTACAAAAACTACTCCCTAATGGATACATTGTGGCACTGTCATCTGCTGAACGCTACAGTAGCTTTGAGAATGAAATGAGCTATAGCTTTGCAGAGGAACATCAGGCCTTTAATGGTGAGTGATAGATGCAAGACCCCCCAGATACAAGCAGTATGATTCCATTACTACAAAATTCATTCTGTTTAAGGCTGCAGACGAGTAAAACTACAGAGAAAAGCAAGGAAATGATTATCCCCAAAGTCAAGAGTGGTAACTTCTAGTAGGGAAAATGGATGGTGATCAGGGGAGCTCCTGTGCAGCTGGCAATATTCTCCTTCCTGACTTGAATGATTACGGATTGTTCCTTTTCTATTATTGAGTAAAATAGATGTATCTTTTGAATGCATTTGTATGTCCATAGGTCATATGTTATAATGAAAAAGTGACTTTAATAGCACTCAGTATCATTTTAATTCTCTATAGAGGTTAGTACGTATTCTAATAAGCCAGGAATTCTTTTTTCCAGTGACAAGCATTAGCAACCCAAATCAAATGGTGCTTAAAAAAAAAAAAGGAACTGAATAGTTTATGTGCGGCCTTCAGGCTTAGCCAGGTCCAGGTGCCGAAATGCTACCTAGTGGGGTCTGTCTCTCTCCAGTGTAGCTCTGTGTTTCTCAGTGCTTCAGTGCTGTCTTCAGTCTCACAGATGAAGATGGATTTATAAACAAACAAATCTCTTTCTTAGAAATTCTAGCAAAAGCCCACATCTGGCTGTCCCTGGATAATCATGGGTCACAGATTCTTCCCTAGCCAGTCACTGTAGTCAAGGGATTTGAAATGCTATTTGGCCAGGCCTGGTCCCCAGGTCTGCCCCAGGAGCTCTGTATCGCAGGGTCTGAGAGTCATAGCTAGTGTTGCCTAGAGAAAACTTAATTGTTTTAACTATAAGACACAGGGTGGACACAGGAGTAGACAACACCCACCAATGTCCACTACCATTATTGCCGCCTTTCTTTGGTGCTGTTACCAAGCAGTAGTTGCCTTTCATTTCCTACTCCTGTATTCCAAACACCTCACTTCCTTTCCAGCCTTCTCCCAAATAAAGAGCAAAGGCAGACAAAAATAAACAAAATGCATTTAAAAAGACCCAGGAACTTACAAGGAAGCAAAAGGACTGAAAGAATGATTGAATGATGCCATTTCCCCCAGTCTTTGGCCTCTCATTAGTTACCTTACTGGTACTTTGGGTCAGAGATTTGCATCAGCCCAGGTGTATAATTGCTAGTGACTTACTGACAGCAGTCCCTGCTAGCACGGCACAGTGGATCAGAATGTGACGCTCTGCTTGGCAGGACAGTGAAGGGTGCCAGATTGACCCAGCTCCCTCAGCATTGCCTAGTGACCAGCAACTTTTGTCCGGGAGTCTCAGGGGACAAACAGAACTCACCGTGCTCCTTAAAGTGCATAAAGGGGACAGGTCACAAATGCCCTGGAAGTGTGCAGGACAAAATGGATTTCCCCCACAGGAAGAGGACAAGCCACCTACCAGTGACCATGCTGACTGGTGCTCCAGGACCATTCCAAGATAATTACAACCAAGAATGTCTCCAGAATTAATATGTGTGGTTCACTGAGTCCTCTGTGCTTCTCCTCACACTGCCAAGGCTGAACTGCCAGGCTGATCAGTACAAATTCAAAAGCATCCTGAGCTCACCAGCTCCTTCTGGGCTCCCTCCACTGGAATCGAGTGTTAATAAAGTCCATTGAAACAAAAGCTCCAACAGACTTTAGCCTCAGGGCATTTCCTTCCTGAGACCTGAGGGAGGAAATCTACAATATCAGAACATTGGCAGCCGAGATATGTCTTCCCAAAGTGATCAAGAAGGAGAAAACTCTGTCTCTTTTTAATAATTACCGGTAATCATTTCACAACAAAAGGCTTTGTGGCTTCTGTCACATACGATCGATGAAGATTAAATTAACATCTTGGGAACCCACAAAATTATTCCACAAATATACCTTGGGCTCCCTCTTAGGTGCTGAGCACTCTGGCAAGCTCTGGGGACCCAAACATTAATAACATACAACTCCTGCCAAAAAGATATTACTCAGGACTAATTCGTCTCTAGCAGCATTTTCAGATGACACACAGGCTGTGGTGAAGCTAGAATATTAAAGTAATCTCTTGTCAAAACTCCCTCATCTCCCAGGAAAGAGAATTAAAAATGCAGCTGTCATATGGGCCCTGGCCCAGGTCTGATAGTTAACAGTCGCCCTTGCACCACCCGTGGGGAGGTACCTCCCCTCCTCCACCCACTCCTCCCTCCAGACTGTACAGCTCAGGTGCTAAGGGTGGGGGGTGGCTAGGCCAGGGTGCAGGAGGGATGTGAGCTCCTTCCCCACCTTCTCTCCCTTTTCCTGTATCAAGCCCTCAACTCTGTTAGGACCTGAACTGTGTTGTCCTCCCAAGATTCATAAGTTGAAATCCTCTCTCCCAGTACCCCGGAACATGACTGTATTTGGAAATGGGACCTTTAAAGAAGTGATTATGTTAAAATGAAGTCCTGAGGGTGGGCCCTAATCCAACAGGACGGGTGTCCTTATAAGAAGAGGAGATTAAGACACAGACACACACAGAGGAAAGATCATGTGAGGACATGGGAAGAAGACAGGCGTCTACAAGCCAAGGAGAGAGGCCTCAGGAGAAACCAGTGCTGCCGACACCTTGATCTTGGACTCTGGCCTCCAGGATTGTGAGGACAGGAATTGCTGTTGTTGAAGCCGCCTTGTCTGGGATCCGGCAGTCCTAGCAAACCCGGTCCACCATTGTGCTGTCAGAATGCAGAGACCCTGCAGCAACTTGCAGGTTTTTGTGATGCCTTTTTTTTTCTTCTTCCCAATTTGCAAAGCACAGGAATTTAAAATATGGGAGAATTCTTGCTGTATAGACTGAAATGGTACAGCTTACTAAACCCAAACATATGCAAGACCCCCCCCAAAAAAATTTACACATGGCACCAAATCCTGTCTTCTCCCTCGTGACTCCCCCTTTCTCCCTCCCACAGACAAGTCCCCAGACAATTTTAAGGATTTTAAGGCGTTGCATAACCTGGCTTGGAGGATCCAATGAAGCTTTTACTGAATCTGGCTTCATGAGATGCTAACAGATTGTGAACTATACATTTGCTGATTTTCCCCCTGTGCCAGACCATTTTTAAGTTATGTGTGCACAGAATGGCATTTAAAGGCCTTAAGTATCTCTCAAGGGAAAGAAAAGAGCAGAAAATAGCCCACAAAACTCTCATAATGTGAGCAAGAACAGCTGATGCAAAGTTTGGTGTGGGTTTTGTTTGTTTTTTGTTTGGAGGGGGGCTGTTCTGGTTGGTTGTTTTGTTGTTTTGCTTTGGCACTGGAGGAAGGGAGCAGGGAACAGAAGGGAGCTATTTAGGAAAGTCATTTCTAGACTAGAGGGGGAGGGCTCAGGACTGCTGGATTCCAACTCCTTAGGGGTGGGAAGGTGAGCACACTTTGGGGGTCCCTGTGTGATGACCCTGCAGGCAGTTCAGCTGTTGGGGCTCAGGACACCCAGCCTCCACCTCAACCCCACCCCCTCGCAGTCTGTGGACAAGTGGTGGTTTTTTAAAAAAATGTTTTTTTAAGCAGACTTCCTGTTATGTTCAAGGAAGGCTTGGGCCGTTTTATTATTAAGCAATTTTCTTTTTAAGTTTTCTTTTAAAAAGGCCACATTTCCCCCAGACTAAAATCTGCTTTACTCAAGCCTCCATGTTTTAAATCTCATATTTTCTTAAGCCCTTAATTAAGCTTTCCAAGAGCTCATCTGTTTAATTTGCATTCCGAAACAGAAAATCTAATGTGTTTTAACATTGTCTGCTTCAGCCGAAAAGGAAACTGTAAATTTATACAGTCTGGCTTAAAAAAAATTGGCAGTTGCATCCTAATAAGTCTCCGGAATGGGGTTCCAACCCCCGTGTCCTCAGCCTCCCATCCCCCTCCTTCCTCT